GAGAACCCCCCCGGCCCAAGGGGGGGGGGGATGGCCACAACGCAATCCCTTCTCCATTCTCCTCTTGGCATCTTGGATATGCACACACATGCACCTGACATGAGTTTAAGCCACCAGGTCTGGGACTCGAGCTGCGATCGACTACATGGGAGTCCAGTGACATAACCATTACACCAACTGCTGGTCTCATATATATTACTTTTTATGAATGCTTTTCTGAGGTACTCATGTGTTAAATTAAAAATGAATCATGACATAGAAATCGTGGCATATGTTCTTTTGTTTTTCAGTTATAAAAGTTGTCAGAGTGAATACACCATCAACCCAGAGCTGGCAACTCTTTCTTACTTTCATCCATCAGAGGGCATATCAGACACATCTTTTTCTAAGAGTGCGGAGAGCAGCACATTTTGGGGCACTGCTTCTTCAGATCTAAGAAAGCCAACCATAAGAAGGTCACTATCTAAAACTATGACGGATGGGATTTCCACAGGCTCCGATGATACGGGCATAAACGAGGAATCAGACTTACTTCACAGTGAGGAGCCAAGTGAGGAACCGAGTGAAATCCCAACTGACTAATAGATAACTTCGGTTCTTCTGTTGTAAAAAAAAAAAAAAAAGAGGCCTTTCTTTATGTTTCATATTCATGTCATTATTTTCAAACTCTGCTGAAACACCTAAATTTTCTGATGTCTTAAAAGAAGGACATATTCAATAAACATTATCTCGGTTATAACAAGTATTTGATGGGAAGTAAACAAAGAATTTAAGTTGTGGAAAACTCATCAAATGGAAATGATCCCTGAGCGGTTTATGGAAGCTATTCACTCGAATATTTAAATGAGGACATTCAAATATTAACCTGACCCCATTCTGAGGACTTCTAAGGTAATCACCACTATGTCCCTCCCACCACCAAAGCAAAAGCAACACACCTGTTTTCATGTTTCATTGGCAAAACAGTTGTACTTCAAGAGATGAAACTAAATCAGGGTAGAAACTGCTAGCTTTCTTGAATTGTCTGAAAATCATCAGGGCTGCTCTCATACAAAATGTTGTAAGAAAAAAAAGATAATTTTTCCTCCATTTCTAAAATATCCATAAAAGTTGCTGGTTCGAGTCCAGAGACCTCTCTGGGTATGGAGGCATGCATGTGCCAGTGATCTGGCTGGCTGAATCACAGTGACCTGGCTGGGACACCATCGGGAGTGCTGTAATCGCTCTCTCTCTCATGTAATAAGTAAGCTTTAATAACAAAAAAAATAAAATATCCATAATCATTTGAAATAACAGTGTTCCAAAAAAAGAGAAAGAAATAGGAGATCCCAGCAGGCAGTCTCCTAGAGGGGGATGTGCTGACCCCAATTCTTTTAAAACTGAAGCGCCCTTCTCTCTCTTCCCCCGGGGCGTCTAGGACCATTACGCTCTCTTGGAAGAGAAACAAAACATCTCAAAGACTAATTCAAGCTTATTAGTGACTTATGAGGCTATCCACACCCAGAGTGTTTCTGTTTATAAAGAAGACAAATGGAGGGAACCAGCAGTTAGCGTAATGGCTATGTCGCTGGACTCCCACGTAGTCGACCGCGGTTCGCGTCCCGGACCCAGTGGCTTAAAACTCACGCCAGGCACGTGTGCATGCAGGCCCAAGATCCCGAGAGGAGAATGGAGGAGAAGGGATTGCGGCATGACCATCCCCCCTGGGGGGTGATTTCTCGCTTTCTGTCTCTCTGTCTCTCTCTGTCTGGCGAGCGCACGCACCCTACAGTGAAAAAAAAAAAAAAAGAAAGTTAAAAAAAAAGAAGACAAATGGAATAGGGATAATGTTTCCTTCTTAGGAATTAGCTTCAAGTGGAAGGATTTTAGGGACAAGCATCAAATCCTTTGTGGATGTGGGAAGTCAAGGCAGGGTTTACAACCTCAATTCTCACCCCTAACAATAACTCATTTATTGAGCGCCTGTTTACGCTAGGCACGTTGGTACATTATAGCACTGAATTCTACTACTTTATAAAAGGTGAGTTTGTTTTGCAGAGTAAGAAATGAAAACCCAGGTAAGTCAGATACCTTGCCTAAGATCACCTGCTAGAGATGACCGAAGTTACAATGTGCTTCCAAACTGGAAATTTCTTCATGATCCATGGTGAAAAGTCAAACCTACAGTAAGTCAAAAGACTTCAGAAGCAAATTAGGGCTATGTCCAAAGGCCTTCCTCTGGTCTTGGGAAACTGTCTTCTGCATCTTGTGTCTCTATGGTGTTCCTTTCCTATGGAAGACAGACACACACTGTCCATTCACTTGCCCCCTTCCCTACCACCCGTCTCCCTGCTCTCCAATCACTGTTAACTCCCCAGGCTCTAGCCTCAGTGTCATTCACCATGGGTTGGCAATGCCACCAAGCCCTGCCTTTGAGTAGTGATGGAGCATGTAAGATAGTCGTACCCTGAGGGCAACGAGGAAGCAGGATAGACGCTCGCCCTTGGCTGCTCTCTGCCAACACTGCACCCAGGTTCTGTGCTGTGGGGTGGCATTAGGCAGCAGTAAAAGCTACCCCCTACTGACCACTTCTGCCATTTTCCATGTCCTTTTGACAGCTCCAGGCGCCTATAGCAGCATTTGTACTGCCAGCTCAGGCACCCAGAGATGGTGTGGGGACTGAATGAGGCACTTGGTTGCACCTGCTTGGAGGTGCCCCTGGTGCAAAGAGACTCCTGCCAAGTCCAAAGGTGAGGAAGAGCTTTTGAGAGGCATGCCGGGGGGGGGCTTGGGGAAGTGTGGACTGCCAACTAGTCCCATGTTTTCCCTATACTCATCCAGGGGAGATATCAGGGATTTTACTGATTTTAAATATAATAGATGTAACAGTTGCTTTTGAATCCTCTAAAGGGCTCCAGTACAAACGCAAAGCATTGTAGAAAAATACATTACTCTAAAATGTCTAAAAGGCCAAAGGAGCTGTGTTAAACTGTATTTCTTAAAAAATGTCTTCTCTGGGGCCAGCAGGAGGTGTGGTGATGAAAGCGGCTAAATCCCACGTGACTGACTGCATGGCTGGAGTCCGAGACCCAGCAGCTTAAAAAACACATCAGCACCTATGCCTATACTCAAAATCCAAGAGAAGGCCTACCCCTGCCTTCCCCCTGAAGGTGCTACACCCCGCCCCCCAGCTTATATGCCCTGTAGCAAATTAAAAAATGAAAAAAATTTAAAGGCTCATCTTCAGCTGGCATGGCTCAGATACCACTGTGAAGTGCAGTGTAGGCATTTTCCAGGGGGCAGTACCTGAAGAATGTCATGTCTAGTATCTAGGTCTCCACTCCCTAGTCTGGAAGTGAGGGCAGGGGCCTGGCAGGTAGCATGGTGGTGACCAGGGTTCAAGTCCTGGACCTGGGGGCTTGCTTTGTTGCTCTCACTCTGTCGCTCTGTCCCTCTCTGGTCAAAATACATAGTTAAATTTTTTAAATTCTAAAACAAAACAAAACAAAACAAAAAGTGAGGACAGAGTCTTACTGCATTTCCTCAATAAAAACGCTGGATTCCTTCCATTCCCTGATCTGCCTCTTCCCACCCTAAAGCGGGGTTCAGCTGCTGTTCCCCTGCAGCCTTCTCCCCCCTACTTAAGATTCTAAGGGCCGCGTGGAGACGGGCGGTGACAGCGCTTAACGCAGGAGGAACCAGGTCGTTCCAAAGTCCCCAAAGTGAGTCTGCCGGGCGTCACACGCGCCGGATCCAGGGCTCTAAGCGCCAACCCTCCTGTCTCCTTTCTGGGCAGGGAAGTCCCGAGAGGAGCCCCGGGTGAGGCTGCTCTGGGGGCGCCGTCGGGGACGTCTTCCTCCGGCCTTCCCGGCGGCCACGCAGTCTGGAACCTCGGGCTGGGAGGTGCTGGGCCAGTGACTGCAGAGCAGCTGGCTGTCGCGAGCGTCTCAGGATCACCCTCCTCCGCCGCCCGCTCCACGGGGTCGCCATGGCCGCTGGGCCGGGGCCAGGGGCGGGGCCTAGGGATCTGCCGGGCGGGGTCCGGGAGCGCGCAGTCCTGGGCGGGCTCCTGCCGCGCGTGCGCAGGTGTGCGGAGTGCAAGGTGCACTGGGTGGGCTCGTGGGTTTTATCCGCTCTCCGTCACCCACGACGCGGAGCTCTTTTCAGTTTTCCTGTGACTAGTGGTGAGGGTGGGACCCAATGGAAGGAATAGGATGGGGACCGCAGCGGGACCTTTGTTCATTCTGGTGGCACAGGAATACAGACCAATCAAAAAGCTGTTCTCAAGCGTCTCTAGCCAGGGGAGAGACCTAAGTGTGCCTCCACACTTCAAAATTAACCCTCTTGAGTCTAGCTTCTGGCGCAGTTAAAAACAAATGAATGAATGAAAGCCCTTCCTGACCTTCTGGAATCATGACAATCCAATAAATGCCAGCTGATACCAAAATGCCTTCTTGGCTAGTTAGCCAGAGTTAATTGCCCCTTTCAAGTTTTTTTTATAAAAAAGAAATTAAACCCAGGTATTTATGTTTGGGTCCTAGAATAATTCTCATTTTTGTGCTTATTCCCATTCTTCCAACAGGAAAAAAAAAATCCCTGCTAGTACATTTTAAAATTTTTAATTGAATTAATTCTTTAATTGAAAATGAGTGTTGAAAGGTTAAGCCAGGAGAAAGCTGGTGGTATGAAGAGGGAGCATGTGTTATCAAAACAGCCAGGTGGCACTGGCCTGTAGTACAGTGGTTAAGGGAACCAGATTCCAAGCGGGCCATGGTGTTTTAAGTCACTCCCTACACCAGATGCATCTGCATACTGCCCAAAAGTCCTGACAGGAGGAAGGAATAGAGTCACACATTGCGGTGTGACCGTACCCCACTGAGGGTGCACACACACTCTCTCATGAGTGTGCATGTGCACCCTTTGGCAATTAAACAACAAAATACTCATATAGGTTATCTGAAATAAATTCGATTTTAAAAAGCATAATTTGTACCACATATCAGATCTAAAAATCTTGTTTGGGAGAAGGGAGAAGTTATTCTGTAATTCATGTAGCAAAATGTGTCTTGGAAAGACAGAAGACCTTGTGATTCTCTTAACAAAGTTTCGGAAGGAAGTTCCAGAGTGTTGTAGACAGCCATTACCTCAAGCTTTAGATCTTGTCACTATCCTGGGTTTCCTCAGGACTCTAAGTCCAGCTGATCTGAAGACTTGTTTGTTGTTGATGTTTAGATTTTTATAGTTGTTGGTAGAGAGGAATGTTAATTTTGTTTGAAGCATTCTATAGGGATCTTTAGAATATTGAGACCCACTAAGTGAAGAAAAGAGAGATGATTAAAATAACTTTTTCTTGGGGACAGAGGAGATTGGTGAGTGTATGAGATTGTGTACAGTTCCATGTAAGTGGTTGTCCAATGTGAACTGTGCCCAAATTGTGAAAGGTCAGTAATAATAAGATGCATAGTTTATAGTCCACACAATATCATATTTGACAATTTAAAGATTATGTGTTATCCTGCCACACGGGTGGGAATGAGCAAGGAATTTGAAAGACTTAAGCAGTGACAGTCTTGGGCTTCACATTCTCCTAAGAATTGATCACTTAGTTTCTAACACCCTGTGCTTAAGACTGGGCTTGGGAAAATTACTGCCCGGTGGATAGAAAGCTAACTGTAAAGGAAATTCTGGAATCTGCATTTGGTTTTAAGTAATTTTAAACAAACTCCATTGATAACACTAGGTACAACTATAGATGACTTGGAAAGAGTCGACAAAAACGTGGAGTCAATCAAGACTGATGTTGGAAAACAACAGAAAAGGCACTCCAAGTTTACTTTAGCACTTGAAGAAATAACCCAGAGCCCAATGGCCTCCTTGAATGATACAAATAGACAAGACTTTCCTGA